CCCCCTGCCCTGGGCAGGGACACCTCCCACCAGAGCAGGTTGCTCAAGGCTTTAGTCAACCTGGCTGTGAACACTGCCAGGGTTGGGGCAGCCACAGCCTCCCTGGGCAACCTGGGACAGTGTCTCACCACCCTCACAGAGAAAACTTCTACCTCATATCTAATCTAAATTTCTCTCTTTCAATTTCTCCCCATTTCCCCTTGTCCTGTCCCTGCAGCTCCTAACACAGAGTCCCTCTGCAGCTTCCCTGGAGCCCCTTCAGCTCCTGGCAGGTTGCTCTCAGGTCTCCACACAACCTTCTCTTCTCCAAGCTGAACAGCCCCAACTCTCTCAGCCTGTACTCGCAGGGGAGGTGCTCCAGTGCTCTGATCAACCTATTGGCCTCCTTTGGACTTGCTCCAACAGTTCCAGGTCCTTCTGATGTTGAGGACACCAGAACTATCGACAGCACTCCAGGTGAGGTCTCATGAGCAGAGCAGAGGGGCAGAACCACCTCCTTGGATCTGCTGTCCACACTCCTTTGGATGCAGCCCAGGATTCTAACATATTTTATGCTTTTTTACTCATTCCTGGGAGGAAGCTCCACCTTACCTGTATTTTCAGCTCTTTCAGGGTCTGACTGGCTGACACCAGCAGTGCTTTCTCCCCTCGGACCTTCCGGTGCCGCGTGCTCCGTCTGATCCCTTGTTTTTGGTATGTGATGTAGCTCTGGTGGGAGAGCTTCTGGCGCTTGGCGCCGCCGTTGGCCTAGAGACGAAGCAAAAAACCGAGATTAAGTTATTTGGGGATAAACACAACTTCCCCATATCCCAGAGGGTGTTTTGGCTGAGTTGGTCATGCAAGGGAAGGCAGGAAGCAATGGAAAACCCCTTGGAAAGCCAACTGGAGCATGCAAGTGTGGAGAAGACCAAAGGATTTGCCTTCAAACGTCAGTTCCTGGTCCTAGTGCCAGTGTGGGGCAGATTTCCACATGCACCTGAATCCCTATCCAGGTTTAACCTCTCCAAACCCAGCACTGGGGTGGTTCAACCATGGAAGTGACAATATAAGACCTGTTTGCCCTGCCAGCAGGACACAGAGGAGGAGGACACGAATCCCATCATGCTGACTCAAGTGGATGATGCCAAAATCAAAGAACCTGATGGGATTTTTCATCTCTACCTGGTTAAAATCAGGGTCTTGCTCCCCCTCTGGCTTGTTTTCATCCCTTTCCTCTTCAGCTTCCGAGCTGCTCATGTTCAGCTCCGGAGCCAGGTCCTTCATTACCTGAAGTCATAAAAATCATTCTCCGTAACTACCAGCACTCACCCAGCCTGGCACAGCATGGCAAACAGTTCCTGGAGGCCTCTGGGTGCCTCCTCCATCCAGAGAGCTCAGGAATAACCCTGGGAGCTGCTCCATGTGCTCTGCAAAGGCTCCTTCACCCTCCCCAGCTGCGTGGGACCCCGTGGGGTTTGGCCCTGGGAATGCCCCTCTGTGGAGCTGCAGGTGCTTCCTGCCCTCCTCTCCATGCAAAGGGAATGTCTCCAGGGGCTGGACTGATTCCTTTCCCATCAGTTGGTTCATCTAAGTGTATTACAAAAGTCTCAACATGAAGAAAGGAATATTATGCATAAATTAAGACACTTATCCACTCCTGCAGCAGCCTGAGGCACTCAGCACCACTACCTATGGGGCTGAAGGTTTTAAGTTAATGAAAACTAAATCATTTACACAAATACATAAATAAAAAGGATGTTCAGGTCTGTGGAAGTCACCCCAGGAAGCATGGATTTGCCTGAACGCAAATTCCCATTGATTCTTTGGCTGGAGCTGGGGTTTGCAGGAGCTCAGGAGACCTGGATGCAGAGAGCTCACTCCTCCAGCGATCTAGGTATGATTAATGATGCAATTCCAGCTCCCAAACATCCCCCAGAGCTCTCTGAATTCCAGCAGTGCCACCCTCACTGATTCTATCCAGATGGGGCTTCCCTCTTACAGCATCATCCATGCCAAGAAGGCACCAGGGGGGTGCAGAGGAGGAAGAGCAGGGGTGAGGGGCTGGGAAATGCTTCTTGGTTTTGCAAAACCCAGCAGGAAAGACACAG